GCACTGTCGAATTATCAGAACGAAGCCATTTATAAATAAAAATAAACATCGTTAATTAAAAAACATTATTTTCTGGTCGGATTAATTAAGATACCGAGTACCTACAGTTTGCACAAAAACATTATTGCAATGAACCAACCTCAACATTCGTGAGCCGTTAATTAGTGGGAAAAAATGTAATTTAAAGCTGAAGCTAAATCAAACAAACCTTATTTATGTTCGCTAGTTGAGCAAAGATTCCCTACGCCAGAAATTTTGTATTAAATCTCGCTGTACGTGACTTCCGTTTGCTAAACAACTCAATTTCACTACCGTAATGTAGATTTGGCCGTTGGTATTTTGCGTTACCGGAAGTCATTGCATTTCGATTTTAGCTTTATCAAAACTGCTCGGAGATTTTTCTACTGCCTTCAGTCATCAGCTATTGCCAGATGCAACATGAACACCACGTTTCTCCTTGGTTGAGAGCAAAATTATCATGTGTTCCTTTATAATACTTGATATAGCAAATATTAATTTTTTTAACATAATTAACTTATAAGCATAATAAATTCACAACTTATCATGTAAAACAAGCTTTACCTCTCGGAATAACAACGTCTTTCAATTTTTGACATTCAAGTTTAAATTCCACTTAGAAAAATATCAAGAAAAGCGCGTCATGATTGAAACCTAAAATAGATGTGATAAAAATGCTAGACGAGCCTCTGATTACCATTTTGAGAGGTGCTTTGACCGTCGTCAACCGTTCCTGAACAGTTTGAAGTCAAAGTTTTACGCAGCCAAGAAATGAAGATAAAGTAATGAATGAAGCTGTGGATGTTAGTTTATTGGCCCTTGTAATCCAGAATCCACAGATTTCATCCTGAGAGATAGTAGCAGAATCCGGGACTTCCCAAAGCACTGTGATGAGAGTTTTGAAAAAACACAAATTTAAAAGTAAAGTAAAAAAATTAAAATTATTAAACTACACCAAGATACAAATAAGATCGAGGTTCACAGAGAAATTCGGCAAGAGGACACTATGTCGCCCAAATTACTCAATCTAGTACTCGAAGAAGCCTTTATAGACACATGGAATGGGGACATAAACGTTTATTTATCAATGGCGAAAGGATCACCCACTTGCTATATGCTGACGATGTAGTATTAATTGCAGATAACCCAGACCAAATACAATAAATGCTGTTCGAGGTGGACGAACAAATACCAAGGGACAAGAAAAATAAATATAGAAAGATTTAAACAAACTGCAAAAAACGCCCACTAATAAACTTTCCCAATTCGAACACATCCAGATAAAACGTATGAATATACATTGTATTCTTTACTAGCAGCTCGAGGTTATTTAAAGCCGAAGTGCCTCGACATGCTATTTGGATGAGACTAGTTTCACAAACGGTTTTATGACGTCTTTAAACTAGCTCGTTTCAAGACACGAAGTTCCACCACAAAGAAATGCAATCCGAGAAAATAGCTTGCCAAATAGTATGTGTAGGACATTTTCAGGCTTTTGTATCGAAATCAGGAATAGGTAAGTGATTTTTAGTGGATCGAAAAGCGAATTTCGATGGTAATTTATTTTGGCACTAAGGAAGGAGGCCTTTATTCCTTGAAACTATAACGACACACATTTAGAAAGAAGCTTTTTAAGAAAAATTATGTTATTTTTTGATAACTATAATGTGTAATCATCGTAATATATTAGAAAAATATAATAAAAGAGGTTTATATGGCTCTGTCAACTGAGGTATACGGGGTGGCGATTCTAAAAGCTCAAGCATGGGAATTTGGATTATAAAAGACGCGAAGTCTGTTTAGAAATTGGGAAAAAGTTTCATATTTAAAAAGGTAATGATATACCATTGAGGGTCCTGGGATGTTATTATCACTTACGGAGAATTTTTAAAACACTGCAATTTAATTTTTTCAATTTAGGCCTCGAAAACTGTTACAACTGAATCGAATTACCAATTCTCTATCTAATGATATAAAAACGAGCTCTGTGGCTCAAAGGGTTCTTGAGCAATGTCAAAAAAGACGGGGTCATGTTACAGTCGACCTCTTCATCATTCGTCGTCATTTTTCAGTCTCTTGACTTTTTGTAAGAAAAAACATGTTTTGGAACAAGTGTATCCAAAGTTTCGATATCGAACGCGGTTCGTTACCGAAAAGCTACAGATGAGCTTAGTATAAAAACACTTTATCATTAGAGGCATCATCTATTTTTATATAGTACAGCAGGAAATCTGTCCAAAGCAAACCTTATTTGAAATCAGCAAAGCAAAGAGACAGAAATATAAAGAATTAGAAGATATAAATATAAGAAACTAAGCTCAGTTCAAGCTAACAGATTTATAGATTAGAGATCATTCCTAACAGCTTTCAGCTTTCCGCAAGCTAGCGCTCCATCCTCCATTGTCTACCCATTAACCCTCAAAAAGTTCACTACACTTTTACAAACTATCGCACTTGCCATATGAGCCGCAATTATTCTACAGGGTTATTCACGCTATACGGCACGGAAGTTTGCGGCTAAACCGTTTGATTTTTTTAAGTATTATTTCATGAATTGTCCGACGCTTACCGAGCGCACATTTTAAAAATATTTTGGTAATGTACAGGGTGTCCCAAAAGCTCTAAAGGTACCAAAGTTGCGTTTTTTTAAATAGAATCTCCTATATATTATTGCATTTTTGGATTCGCTGAACAAAATAAGTGTCTGTTTTAATAAGGTTTATAACACCTAAATCTTAACGTTTTTTAAATAATGCGAATTTAATCAAAATCTTATCTAATTTTCACGTGTCAAATACTTTAGAAGTATTTAAGTTA